TACTCCAATTCCAAAATTATATACCGATAGCTTATTTTGTGTGAGTAAATAAACTACTTTTTCAAATTTTATAAAAATTGGCTCAATGAGTTTCAATAAAATTAAATTTCCCGTTTTCCCCTTTTTGGTACTTTTTTCTCCAGTGAAATAGCAAACTTTTGTTTCAATAAATGTTACAGAGTTAGTTCGTAATTTAATAGGAATGCTTCAATAAATCGAAAAAGTTTCCTTAATATGCTAAAAAAAGTACCAAAAATACAGTTTTATCCCTTTTACACCCAAAAAGGACTGAATTTTAAAAAAGTACGAAACAGGTGTATCCTAATTTTGGGAGACACATATATTAAAAATATTTACAAAAATGTAATTTTGTTTATTAGTTAAGAAGTTATAATAGGTCAAAAAAGGTACCAAAATTACCTTTGTTACACATTTTCACCCCTTGAAAGTATGAATTTCAAAAAAGTACCAGACAACCATCTGCTTATTTTAAGAGTAGATACAGGTGCATTTAAAATTTTTCTTGTATCACTAATATTAGGTAAGATAATTAAGAAAACCTGTTTTACCCGTTTTTCCTCTTTTTACCCCTAAATGTACAAATTTCCAAAAATCCCTCCTTAGTGGATCTATGTACATAAGCAAAAATACATTTACTGTCAAAATTTCCTGATTCTAGGTTCAGCCGTTTGGGATGTGCGGTGATGAATCAGTCAGTCAGTAACGCTACTCTTTTATATATAGTGATTACACTAGTATAGATTAAGACATAGCAAAAATATTGTAGGATATTTTTCAGAAAATAACAATGCACCAATTGGATTCTGGTGTGAATAATAGTCCTCAAAAAATTATAGACCAATCTTCTTAAATTTTACAGGAAATTTTAGGTTGACACAAATTAGAATTAGGGTTCGACTTCAACGCAATACTAATAGTCATAAGTAAGTTTTGAATTTCAGTAATTTCAGAACTGAACCGGAGCTATGGATCATGGTTGGGGGAATAAAGGAGCATAAATATACATAAATCAAATCCGAAGAAATATACTCAGACTTCTATTGAGCCTGTTGTGTGCTCCTTTATCAGTGCCTCCGGTGGGAATCGAACCCACCACCTCCGGTCTACAAGACACGAACCACTAACTTACCACAGGCCAGGTAATTGTAATTAAAATTACCTCAAATGTAATTGTAATTGAAAATGTAATCATTACATATAATTTTTGTGATTTTAAATACATTAAATTCTTTCACATAAGAAATTTTTAAATCTTGATTTCTTTAATTCATTTCCACATATTATTTTAATATTTTCTTCAAAGTTTTAATGTACAAATTTCATCATTCTACGTCTCAAGTTTTTCTTTTGTATTGTATATACAGATGGATATGTGTGAGTGTGTCTGAAGTATTTTATTAAGTACACATATAAAATGACGTTTTCAATAGTAAGTAAACACAACGTCTGCTACATACCCTGCAGTACCTATCAATAAGAACTACAGTATATATTTATCAGATCATTTATTTTAAGATACAGTCATACCTCACTTCGATGACAAACGGACGATTCACTATGCATTAGTTTAGTTATAAAAACACTTAATTAGCAGGGCTTCAAAACAAATACTTCAAAACAATGATGAAGTAGTTAGACATTTGCATAGATGGTATTCGTGACAGTTTGTAAAACTGTTGGGTATATGCATACATACTTCCATATACATACATACATACATATGTATATATGTACAAGGAATACAAGAGAAAGCTGATATAAGTATGAATATTTAATTATATATTTCCATTTTTTAATATTTTGCTTTCGTTTTCCTTACTTTTTTTTTGATAACAAGCCAATTTCACTGGTAAACATTTTTATATGTTAAGGGAATTTAATTAACAATATAAATTTGTATTTAATGCAAATAAATTCGTATATTTTCGTTAAGAGAGGAAATATGAAATTATGATTTGTAATATACTGCAGCTGCTGAATGCCAGAGCAATTGTACTAAATAATTTAATAACCTGCATATATTTTATGAGGACACTGAGAGTAAATATAAAATATTAATATTATTGAATGCATTATTTTTATGATTTTAATAATATGGATCACTAACATAGTTCAGTAGAAAAACAAAGAATAAATATTTTATGTATGTTCTAATTATTTTTGATTATCATATAAATGCATTTGACCAACTATAGCTCTCTTATATTATTATTTATTTAATTACTTATTTACTACTAATGTTTGTTTGTTTTTTTTAGTTGACCCAATAATATGAATAAAAACAAAAGTAAGACAAAAAAGGCGAATTGATAATCTGGAAGTAATTTCACTACTGAATAATTTCTTAAAATATTATTGGATTGGTGAAACAAATTTAAATTTTAAACATTATACCGTTAGTCTCTTTCCGATCATTCATTTCATTTAATCTGTGATCATTCTTATTTCCCAGAAAAAACATTTATCTTGGAAAGTAGAAGATATAAGGCCAAAATAACGATAATCTGTTATAACTTTTATTTCCCTCTAAAAATGGATTTTTTTTTTGAAAACATAAATGTCCCTTTATCTGGGAAACTAGAAAAGATACAATCTGTGATCACTTTTATTTTCCACCAACAATCGATTTTTCGAGTGAAAACATAAAAGTCCTTTTATAAAGAAAACTAGAAGAGATAGGACCAAAACAACGCTAATCTGTGATTAATTTTATTTCGTAAAAAAAATTTTTTTTTTTGAGTAAAAACATTTATCCATTTCTTATCCATTCCATTCTTATTTCCCAGAAAAAAACATTTATCTTGGAAAGCAGAAGATATAAGGCCAAAATAACGATAATCTGTAATAACATTTATTTCCCTTTAAAAATGGATTTTTTATTGAAAACATAAAAGTCCCTTTATCTGGGAAACTAGAAAAGATACAATTTGTGATCGCTTTTATTTTCAACCAACAATCGTTTTTTCAAGTGAAAACATAAAAGTCCTTTTATAAAGAAAACTAGAAGAGATAGGACCAAAACAACGCTAATCTGTGATTAATTTTATTTCGTAAAAAAAATTTTTTTTTTTGAGTAAAAACATTTATCCATTTCTTATCCATTCCATTCTTATTTCCCAGAAAAAAACATTTATCTTGGAAAGCAGAAGATATAAGGCCAAAATAACGATAATCTGTAATAACATTTATTTCCCTTTAAAATGGATTTTTTATTGAAAACTTAAAAGTCCCTTTATCTGGGAAACTAGAAAAGATACAATTTGTGATCGCTTTTATTTTCAACCAACAATCGTTTTTTCAAGTGAAAACATAAAAGTCCTTTTATAAAGAAAACTAGAAGAGATAGGACCAAAACAACGCTAATCTGTGATTAATTTTATTTCGTAAAAAAAAAATTTTTTTAGTAAAAACATTTATCCATTTATCTTGGTAATAAGAAGAGAAGGGGAAAACAATGATCTTCAAAATTGTCTGCCATAGTTTAATTTATATATAAACTATGTAATCCAATTTTTATGTTATAGAACTACACTGTTTACTATCAAAGTAAATAACTTTTTCCCACACCAATACATAAGAATTTTTAATAAAGCGGAATTAATAATGCACGTTCAATGAATAATTCCCTTTAAAGAAAATGGAAATAATAATTCAATTAAATTAAAGCATTAAGTAAAGGAAATTTAAGATAATAGTGTAATATAATATAATTGTTCCGTAATTAAGTTTTAATTATAAGAAAAAAGAAGTTTATTTTATTAAAAATAAATTTTGTGTTATATCACAAATTTAAGATAATAAATATACGTATATAAATTTACTTATGATCAATTTTGGACCGATCCTCCTAAGAATTTACAAAGATTTGGTTTTAATAAAACTTGTTATATCGAATATCTTATCAATGCCTTATATGAAGACTTTTATCCAGTATGACCCCATGCTCATAACATTTGACAGAAAGATTTTTGATCGTATAAAACTAATTCATGACGAATTTTAATTCAGGGAATTTTTAAGCCAATTTAAGCATTTAATGACATACTATGAGAAAGGCCATTTATATGGTCAATTATGGATAGATCCTCAAAAAATTCGACAGCTAGAATTATGTTCATATAAAACTTGTTTATGTCGAATTTCGTTGCTTTACTATAATTTTGAAGAAGTTGTTTATGTCGAATTTCATTGCTGTTCTTTAATGTTGAAGCAGGTTATAGTTATGAACGTTAAAGCCATTTTATGAGAGAAACCTTATATGGGGGAAGAATCAATCAATCAATCTCTTAACATTTGGCAGAGAGATTTTAGTTTCTATAAAACATGTTTGTGTCAATTACAATTTTAGGGTCAATTATGAACCGATCCTCATAAAATTTGGCATAGAGTTTTAAGTTCCTCTAAAACTTGTTTATGTTGACTTTCGTTGATTTACTGTAATTTTGAGGCAAGTTATGGTCTCTAAAGTTATTTTTTAAGAGGAACCTTATATGGGGGTAGGGTCAATTATGGGCCGATCTGAATAAAATTTGGCAGAAAGCTTTCGGATTCCCTAAAACTTGTTTATTTCGAAGTTTGTTGCTTTGCTATAATTTTGAAGCAAATTATGAGCGTTATAGTCGTTGAAAGGTACCTTATATGGGGGGTAGGCCCAATTATGGACCAATCTCCATAAAATTTGGGAGAGAGATTTTGGTTCATATAAAACTTCTTTATGTGGAATTTTATGGACATGCTGGGCTATGCGAAAACATGGACGGATTTGGCCCATTTCCAATACTAAACAAACTGCATCAATAGTAGATATTTATGAAAAATTTTAGCTTCTTAGCTCTTCTCGTTCAGACTCTATCGTGCCAACAGACGGACATGGGTCTATGATGATTATTTCGATGTGTTACAAACGTAATGACAAAAACAATATACGCCTCATCTTTTTTTAAGGTGGGTATAACAAACTTATAATCAATAAAACTTACCGCATTGGTTTCATTAATGCTTTAACCTCATTTTGATATTCAATCATTAGTTTGAGCTGTGTGCCGCCTTCCTTTTGTACTGAAAATATAAAAATTATAATTAAAAATGGTGATTAAAGAAGGTATCTTTATGCTATTTCATAAAGATTTTAATATTTATGAATACGATTGAATATGGAGCCAAATATAGCCCGATTTCACCAAGTAACTAGCTGTTATTAGCTATTTTTTTATTTCTTAAAAAAATGCGCCTACTTTTTTGTCTAACATTTTTAAAGAGACAATAATCATACATCAATTTGCATTTACATCATTGGCGGTCAAACATGCCCCTGCGGGCATTGTGTTATTCTCACTCATACACATGCAATACGAATGTTCTCAGCAACAAAACAAACTATACACAAAACAAAAACAATTTAATTTAGTTGCTCTCTTTATGAAATGATACACAGAGAATATTTTCAAAAGCCGTTACAAATAAATGTTTGTATAAATACTTTTGATAGATAGATTTATTATGTAAATAATTATTTACAATTATATTTGTATTGTCATTTATTCAACGGTTAATCATTTGAACACTTATAGACCAACATACATACATATCTACATAAATACATCAACTTATGCATTAATACATTCTTACATCAATATATGCATCAATACATCGTTTCGTCAATACATACATATATCGATGTATACATTCCCTCTGTTTTTCATTTATAATACAAATAATATGAATAACACAAATAAGTACAAACATAATTTTTTTCAGTGCAAAGCACACATATTTTCATTTATATTCTCTTTCATATTTTACACTACACATATGCATTTTAAAAATTCTCTTTCTGGCCACCAATGATTTACATACATCAACAATTCCACCCAAATATTTTTAATATTTTCGTGGACAGAGCGACATACATAGTCTAATCGATTCAGATAATAAATCTAAGCTGGTACTTTATATTGCGTATATGCCTAGGTTATCTACACATAATATCGAAATGTTTAAATGTAAGTATTATCCTGAAAAGTACAAAAAAAAAACAATTTATGTATTTTTATAATGAATAACACACAAATTATGTAAAACATTTAATAAAATAAGAGATTTAATTATATTTGAATAAATACTAAACAAGAAAAAAAAAAGTCAGCACATGGTTAGAGTTCTCTTTATAATTCAAGGTTTATGCATAAATGTTGACTTTGTAAGAAATATAATATGTATGTATTCATTCAAATTATGTTTATTAAAATTCCATTTTGTTGCTTTGAATGCTTAAGGATTCATTTAAATGTTAAAAGAATTAATATTACAACAAACAAAGGGGAACGTAAATTAAATTTTTATTTATGTATGCGGCTTAAGTCTATTACCATGGTAATGTATATAATGAAAACCTTTGATTGAATAAATAATTTTATGAATTTACTACATGGATAAAAAACAAACATACATATCTCATTATACCCTGCAAATTTTGCATATTAATGCACAAAATGTAAATCGGACATGACTAACCATACATTAACATTGTACATACATAAATATGGGGAATTTCGTGTCAAGTGACCCAATTTTAAAAATCAATGTCTTCCGAACTGCCGGACTTAGAGAGGGTCAAATGTGGACATTTTGGCCATACAGGGTCAAATGTCCTTTGACCCCCTCTAAGTCCGGCAGTTCTTGACCGATAGAGCTGAAAATTTGTGTCTAACATACTACGAAATTGCCCATATGTAGGTCGAATTCTATAGAAGTTTCATACATACATATGTATGCATTTATCTTATATTTAGTAACTTTTGTTTAAATAAAAACAAAAACATAATAGTTATAATAACAATTATTATAGTAATTACAAATTTACTAAGAATTATCGTAAAAGTTTGTCATTTAAAAAGTTTTGTAAAATATTTACACTTGAGGGTGTTAGTGGAAGTGTGCATATCCTTATACTATAATAGCTGTATACATAAAAATTTCTTATTATATATTTCAATCACACAATAGTTAAATGTTAAACTAGCGTACCCTAGGTACTTCGCTACTCTAGTAAGATTTGGATTAATATTTATAGAAAATTTTAAAATTTTCAGCTGCATTTATTATTAATTTCATATATTCTGGTTCCATATTAAAGATAAATTTAAAAGGACCTTTTGATGAATGAAAAATAAAGAACATCTTATGGATAATCATTCAGTAAAAAGTTGTATATTTCTATCTTCAATATGTATTATAGAAAATTCAAAAAGTATATTATACCCTACACCAGTGTGTATGTTAGTGTTTTACCTTAACTCCGAGATATTAAATATAAGTGAATTTTGGCCTTCAAGTGATTTTCCGAAGAGCAGTTTGTAATATGGACCGATCATTACGAAAATCGGTAGTATAATTAAGACGTATATAAAAGCACGTTATGCCTATTTTTGTAGAGATGCTAGAACATTTAACATAATTATGAGCTCAAAAGCCCTATTCGGGGGTACGAAATAATGGCGAAATAATAGACCAAATGTTCCAAATTTCATCAAATTATCTCGAAAATTACGACCAGTAGTGTGCGCACAAGGTTTACATGGACACAAAGACGGACAGACAGAAAGACAGACAGACAGACAGACATATATAGCTAAATCGACTCAGAAAGTGTTCTGAGCTGATTGGTATACTTTAAGGTTGGTGTAGAACCAATATTTTTGTGTGTTACAAACTTCAGCATGAACGCATAATACCTGCCTACTATAGTCGTGTAGAGTATAAAAAGTACCAAAAATTATACATATATATATGAAGTAACCAATGATAAGTAGCCACTAGTAACTTTAAACAAAGTATACAAGTAGAACAAATTTTTATATGGTATCACCCATAACAATTTTAATCCAAATAAAACTTAAATAAAATAAATAATCTTAAAACAACACTTCCGTTGAAAAAATCATACAATAGTTATAAATGACAGTAAAATTGCCAAAATAAAAAAAAAACAAAAATATTTATTTATTTATTTCGCTTCAACTAAAAAAAATACATACACAAACCAAATTCATTAACTTAAAACAAATATTTATATTTGAAATAGTTTTATGTTTTGTTAAAAGTAAATATTATTCAAGTTAGGAAAAAGAATTTTCTATAATGTGACTACCCAACAAAATTATTTTCATCGCATCGTGAAATACTGGATTTGAAGTCATTATTATATCACTGAAGGTCAGTACATACTTTCTACATAATGTCTACAAAAGCTTTCTCAGCAACTCAGGATGTAACAATAAGTTATGTACAAGTATATCAAGTGAATATAGATGTTTTTGTTGAAACTAGTTTTAATATTATTTAAAAAGTATAAAAATTGTTTGCTGGGTATATATGTTTAAAAACTGTGGTAAAGTTGTATTAGTTTTAAAAGCATATCAACTTTCAGGACGAAGTTACGTCAAACTGGTTCAGTTTAGTTTATAGTACACAGAATTTTGTATACCCTACAACACTATAGTGGGAGAGGTATTATGCACTTCTGATATGATTACACTGTACAAAAATGATTTTACCCATTATGGGTCGATCAAGACACCTAAATGAAAAACATTAAAAATTATTTGAATCAGTTCATTATTTCACTTAGACTTCTTGGTGTTAGCAGGTCGAGAAGCCTCCTCAAAATTATCAAGTCATACTAACGTATGATGGTACGAATTCTAAGTGGACACATAAGATTATGGGCAAAGAATTATTTGACGTGCAGATTCAAACAAATGTAGATCATGTAGAGATGAAAAAGTGAAACTCTGGGACACTTTCTTTGTCATTTTATTTCGTCGAAATCATATCCATACGTATTAGGAGTAATATTATTCCGGATATAGAATCCTTCACGGACACTGATTGGAAACTAAGTTGCTAAACATTACTGCTTAGAATTTTCGCATCTGACGCCCGAAGGAAGAGATTCGTTGTCGCAACAAATTGTTTTCTTCTAAATAATACGAATTCGTATCATAGTCATATCTTCTTGCTTGTAGGAATTAACAAACAAGGTTAAATTTACTACTTATAGTTGTAACAATATAAATTGTGCGATCCAATTGTACAATACATACATATTACATACATAAATGACTGACTGTATGAGCTGATAGTAGCCCTGTCCTTAAAAAAGGGAAAATTTCTTTATATATATAGATCTTATTTAATTCTCTACAACTTGAAAATAACAACTTTCTAAAACTCCAGAACTCGATCTCATTAATTGCTCTCTCACTAAATTTTACATATGTGTATGTGTATAAAGAGACCCTTTCGATATCAGTTATCTTTATAAGAACATGTCTAGTTTACAAAAATAAATGTGTCTGCAAAAAAACATATAAATACACTTCCAGAAATCCATGTATGTATTCATGTTCACAACAAAAGAACAAACTTTTTTGAAAAACACATATACATATTTTTACCCTACACAATTATGGAGGGAAGATTGGCATTTGTAACGTGTAGCCTTTACTGACTGAATATTAAAAAATATTTTTTAAATCAAAATGTTCAACTTTTCGTCTTCTTTTATACCAAACTAGAAAAGTACTATTTAAAGAAGGAAAAGGAATCAAAAATTTGATATTTCTGTTTTGTATATTATAGAAAATTCAAAAAATTTAATTTGATGAACGAAAAAGTCCCTTTCATTAGATTCTCGTTTAATCAGGTCCCTACATGTTAAATTTTATATTTCTATGTTCAATATGGTAAAATTTAAAAAAAAAATACCATCTGTAAAACGAAAAAAAATAATAAATTCTCATTTAATAAGGACCGTGTGTCATGCGTTCCGTTTCCCCATTAAAGAGAATCCAAAAGGTACCATTTGAAGAATGGAAAAGAGTCCCCATTTACAGATTATTTTGATTCATATTATAGAACATACAAAGAATATCATTTGAAGAAAGAAAAAGTTCCAAAAGTAGAATAAATTTTGACTTTGTGGAAAGTTCTATTAAAATAGTACCATTTTCACTCTTTTCGCCTAGGAACACACTTTTTCGAGAATTAAGTTTACAAAAAATAAATAAAACTCATAGATAAAACTCAAACGATTCAAATCTGCATTCATTTGTTCCACAACATTTTTGTTTTAAAAAAGTACCAAACAATTTTCTCGAATTTGGTCCTATATAGGCCTTAGTAACCAAATTCCAAAATAATATACCAATAGCTTATTTTGTGTGAGTAAATTAAGTATTTTTTTTTTAATTTTATGAAAATTGACTCAATGAGTTTGAATAAATTTAAATTTCCCGTTTTTCCCTTTTTTTGGTACTTTTTTCCCCAGTGAAATAGCAAACATTTTGTTTTAATAAATATTACAGAGTTAGTCCGTAATTTAATAGGAATACTTCAATAAATCGAAAAAGTTTTCTGAATGTGCTAAAATAAGTACCATAAATACAGTTTTCTCCCTTTTACACAAAAAAAAGGACTGAATTTTTAAAAATACAAAACAGGTCCTAATTTTGGGAGACACATATATTAAAAATATATACATAAATGTTATTTTGTTTATTAGTTAAGAAGTTATAAAGGGCCAAAAAGGGTACCAAAATCACCTTTGTTACACATTTTTACCTCTTAAAAGTACGAAGTAGGTACAGGTGCATTTAAAATTTTTCTTGTATCACTAATATTGTGTAAGATAATTAAGAAAACCTGTTTTACCCGTTTTTTCCTCTTTTTACCCCTAAATGTACAAATGCCAAAAATCCCTCCTTAGTGTATCTACATAAGCACATCTACTGTCAAAATTTCATGATTATAGGTTCAGACTTTTGGGCTGTGCGATGATGAATTAGTCAGTTAGTAACGCTTCTCTTTTATATATATAGGAGATAATCAAGAAAACCTGCTTTACCCGTTTTTCTTTTTCATGATTCTAGGTTCAGCCCTTTGGGCTGTGCGATGATGAATAAGTCAGTCAGTAACGCTACTCTTTTATGTATATATAGAAGATAATCAAGAAAACCTGCTTTACCCGTTTTTTTTCCTTTTTATCCCCAAATATAAAAATATGCAAATATCCAAAAAGACATCTAATGTCAAAATTTCATGACTCCAGGTTTAGCCGTTTGGACTGTGCGATAATGAATCAGTCAGTCAGTAACGTTACTCTTTTATACATATAAGAAGATGAAAGGTTTTAAGAATATATTTCTTTATATAAACAAATTACTTATATAAAATCCGAAATATATTCAAAATAGTGGAAAAAATCGGATTTTTATATGATTTGAATTTCTGATAGCAAACTTATCATGCTTTCGATAAGCCTGATAGAATTTGGTTGATTATTAAACATTTTGATCCTAAAGATATCTGTGATCTTCAGGAAATTATTTTCAACTAACTAAACGTCAAAAAACAAACGAAGAGAGAGATGAACATCGCTTGATCGACAATGCCGCCCATAAGCAATCAGAATTTCTGAATATGGGATTTCCATATAACAGTCTCTTGTTAATAAAGGGTAAAAAAGTCGCATTGTAATATTCAATTCTGTCCTTTTTGAAATTGCTAATATTAGAAAAAATTTACCATGAAATTAATATTTTTGTCTTTCTGAATCACAGTCTACGATATGGGTTAATTTACATATGATCCTATATATAACAAACTTCCACCTGTAAGGTAACATTTAGTTGAACATGCTCGATTATAACTTTTTACTTATTTCATTTTTGTTGTTATTAGTTATTTTTTTATAATTTTTCCTGTGTATGAAAAATTATGCATGTAAATCAAAACTTTACAAAACATAAACAAGTAAATAAACCAAAAAAATATATGAATACATAAATATGTAAGTATATGTATGTATGAATAAAAATAAAAGTTATACAAACATAAAAATATACTTAAAAAGATTTGTTTTGTTGTTGGTAGAATATGGAAAAGTTTTTTATTCCAACATACACACATACATACTACCATACATCTACATTAAAATGTGTACTTTAAGTTTGGTTAAGTTATTATTTAAATGATAGTTTTTGTTTGTATTTTTTAGTATATTTTCCCCGCAGTTCGGTGTGTTTGTGTGTTCAGATATAAACTAATAATTTAAATTCACATCTTCTTAAAATGAACTATGTTAGCTAATATGATCTAAAAGGAAGTTTTTAATATAAATGAATGTGCCTCCTTATTAAACTGCTGGGTTTTTGTATACATGTGTTTCTGCATACACTAGTTATTGTGTGTTATTTTGTTTATTTTATCAAGTCTTCTGGTAGAATAACGTATCATTCTTTTTACGATAATATTTTTATAACGAATTTTTAATATTTTTAATAACAATAAAAATTATGAAAAACTTTGAAAAATTGTGAAATCAAAAAATAATATTTTTAAGTATCATTTAAGTAGAAAAAAAATGTCAATAAAGAAATTGTTTATTTTGGAAATATTATAAATTTAAAATATATATAGTATAGTCTTCTACTTACCAACATGTTTGATGGGTAATTTATGCATATCTTCGAGTAAAGCATCGACCAATGTATCATTTTCACCATACAATTCGTGTTTTGAGATTCTTAATTGGAATTTTTCTAAGTTTGTTGCATTTTTGCTGTAACGGAAGAAAAAAAATTATATAAAATTTTTAGAAAATATAGTTTTTAATAGTTAAATTTATATTTTATACAATTTGTTTAATGTAAGATTTATTAAAGCACTTTAGCCACCGCACATTTATTTGCCATAATAAAAATCTTTATAACGTATAATTAATATTTAATACTGTGTCTGGAGATAATCTTACTAATACGTTCATAAAATACAAACATTTTGGAGTGACACCGTTTGTAATATGTTCTCACCAATAATGAAAGTTTAGTTTATTCTTAAATAACGTTTCTCCAAATTTTTTGTACTGGAGTCAATATTTGAAAAAAAATACTTTTAAGGTTTTTATTAAATATGTTTCTTTTTTATCCTTCGATCTGCAGTAAGTTTTATAAAAATATTCAAACTGAACTGAATTAAATTTATCAACAAAAAATTAGTTCCTATATTCAAAGGCTTTACTGTATTATATTTATAAAACAATAAAGCTTTATTACACAAAAAAAAAAAATCATAAAAAATGTATAAAATAATAAATAGTACACGTACGTACGTTTTTATTTTAACGTATGAGTAATATTTAATCAATATTACTCATACTCCATGAGTAAGGGTTTTTTGATGTAATTTTCTTACAGTATATAAAAAAGTTATTTTATGAAAAATGGAAAATAGAAATATATATTATTATAAATGGTTTATTTTTTAATTAAGTGTTTCTTTTTTTTAATAAAAAATTTGATTGAATGGCGGGCAACTCTTATACTGTATTACATCAATTCATCTATAACAAAAAAAGTACAATCGGAATTGAAGATCAGAACGATATAAATGTAACGTAGACATAGCTAGTTAATTTTTGAGTTGAGTAATAAACAACAATGTTTTAAAAGTGGTTTCTTCGTGTCTCTTCTGAAAATAACGCATTTAATATAAAAGTATTAAATTCATGCTGTATATGGGCAAGTGACCTAACTCAAAATATCGATTTTAATAAAATTTCCACCAAGGTTAGTACTATTGGATAGAATGCCAGATACAAATTTTCAGCTCTATAGGTCAAGAACTGACGGACTTATTTTTTTTGGACCAGCACTCAGAGTATGACCCTTAATTATGCGAAGCGTTGTGTTGAAACTAGGAAAATAGGTTGTGGGAAGGAGAATAGAGGGAGTAGTGTTTGTGGACATTTGATTTAAATCTTTTTATATCGAAAGTGGCAGGGAATACCTCTGCAGGAAGTTTATTCCACATACGAACAGTGCGGCTGAAGAATGAACTTTCCCTGTAATGTGTTGTGCGGTCCACTGGCCAATCTACCACAAATGGGTGTGCTCTTGAAGAAAGACGTGTGTTACGCAAGAATATACGGGTATCGGGAACAAGTTCCCTAATTTCAAAGGAACACATTCCATTGTAGTATCGATAGAACAGTGAAATACACCCCACGTTGCGACGGTGCTCCAGTGAATCAATAGAGTTGGATACCCTACTGTCACCGATAAGTACCTTTGCCCTATCCTGTACGCGGTCGAGTAGCTCCAAATAGACTTTGAAGCTCCGGCCCATACATGAGAGTTGTATTCCATTTTCGGTCGGATATAAGTGGTGTAAATAGTAAGAAGATCAGATGGAGTGAGGTATGTCTTACACTGTTTCAAAAAACCGAGACACTTAAATGCTTCTTTCGACACTTGAAAAATTTGTTTAGTCCAGCGGACATCGCACTAAATTTTCATGCCCAGAACATCAAGTGTTTCTGATTCCTTAATATTTACACCAGCCAAATTATTCAAATGAGTGTAACTTTTCACCTATTGGTACTGGCAAAAATTATCCAAAGGAGATCAGATAGCTATTTCTTCATTGGTAGAACCTTGCTGGAAATTTCTGCTTGATTCAAATCGGAAGACACCGCTTTTAAAAGTTGGGTCACTTGACACAAAATTGCACATATTCTAATTTCTAAATTTTCGATTCTAAAACGCATAATAGAAAGCATTTCATCAGTCGAGAAGAACTAATATGATGCGAAAATTTATATTTTCAATAAATTTTTAATATTTTTATTTTAAATCTACAATTTAAATAGACTGTTTGAAATTCGTTTTTCGCCAACAATTTCATTTCAGCTATTAAATTTTGTCTAGCCAAAAGTCAACATTTATACACACACTGCTAAATAGAAATAAAAATATAATATTTATTTTTTTTCTTTGCATCCGTCATAGAGTCTTGTTCTGTGTTTTTGCATGACATTTTTCATCACGATAATGCAGTAAAACAAAAAACTTTATACTTTTATAATTCTTCTTTTTTTTTTTTTTTTGCTCCTAATGTTTTTAGCATTTCTTTTGACACTGGCATAAAACAGTTTATTTTAAATTAAGAGAGCATTTACATCAGCGCCCCAGTGTACGTTTATAGTTTCATAGAATCGTAAAGCTTTTGTTTAACTCATAAAGCCCGTATTCAATTCTGTTGATTTTTTATAGAATTTCTTTTTTTTTTTGTATATATATATTTTTTTCATTTAGTCATTCATTTATTCACTGACTCTGGTTTAAGTTGTCAATGACTGGCAAACATTTGTAAGTTATAATATAGAAATGAAACAAATTTCAAATAAAATGATTTTATTTACTTGGGTCTGAGTACAGACTTTCCCCTGCCTCTATTAATTTTTTCCTGTACAATTTTTTTTTTAGGTTTTATCCCATTTTGAAAAGAAATATGAAACCATCACCCAGTATGAAGCGACATGAGTATTTATGATTACAATGGTCCTGGAATTTCAAATGAAGTTAAACACAAGAAACAAAAGGAAAGCGACAAAAAAGAACAATGATGAAAAACAGCAACGATGACAACTTCCTGCAGTAAAGTTGGCAGTGGAGTCAAAGAAATATATTAAAATAAAAAAATGGTTGGTAGTAACATTTATACAAAAAATTTTTAAGCAGACTACATAAAATTACTTCTACTTTTTGCCACCTTAAGTAAGTATTCTAAATTTATCAATGCATTTGCTTAATATTTAAGTAAAAAGCTAACTTGCGATTTTAAATACTTCCTTCAAGCTTTATTTTTTATTCAAATTTAAATATATAACTTTTACGACTTTTAACTATTAATTGTATTTATGTGTGTTAAGGATTACTAACACCTAACTATTCCGGCTGGGTTTTATAGTCATGAAACCAATATCAAAGAAACATTTACCTTGGCTTAAAAACTGGCATTAAGATATAGGTAGGTAGGTCGATAGAAGGATGTATACTACATCAAATCCGAAGAAATACACCTAGGCCACTATCGGGCCTGTTGTGCGCTCCTTATCATGAAAAAAAAACTGAAAGAATTATTTTTCAGTGTTCAGAAACTCAGTTTCCTGAACGTAATTCCTAAGAATCTTATAATCAGTGTTAGTCAGGAATGTTATTTCCGGAATAACATCACTTCCAAGATACTTGGATCTAACTTCGACGAATGCCTGGCAGTGGCAAAGAAAGTGCTCCAGAGTTTCACTGTCCTCTCCACATGCTCTACATTTGTCTGAATCCGCACGTCCAATTTTGCATAGATGTGCTCGTAGTCCTGTGTGTCCACTCAGAATACGTACGATCATACTAATTTCAGACTTGCTCATTTTGAGGAGATTTTTCGTCTTGCTCTCATCAGGGTCACCCCATAGGATCTTCGTGGTTCTACCCACTGTTTCATTATTCCAAGAGGCCTTATGGGATTCTCTCACCCATATTTTTAGTTCAGCTTTTGTTGCGTCGAATGGTTTTGCGTTTGTCAGGTTAACTGCCTCGAGCTCCCTTCCCTTTAAAGCTATTACATTCGCCCTTTCGTTACCAACTACTCCCGAGTGAGCTGGTACCCATATGATGTGAACCTTACCTCTGGGCATTAAGACATACAATTTTGGATTTTTTTTTAATTTGGCTTGATCAGGACGATTTAAATAACATGAAAAATTTACTTTTAGGGTACATCAAATTCGTCTACTGAAGAACAAAAATATAAAATTTTTCATCTTTTTGCTTCATGCGTGACAGTTTATATTTTATGTTCAGGAAATGATGATTTTCATCATTTTTGTACGTTTCTTTATATTCATACTACACAGTTTTTACAACTAACTCCTTTTGCTCTTTTACTGTAAGAGTAAACAAAAAATAAAAGAAATATGAATAGACAATGTAAAAAGTGTCATACATATTATATTAGGGTGGTAGAGATAACGGGCCGATTTGAACCATTTTCAATAGACTTCATTCACAGGCCGAAAAACCTTTTTATCCTTTCACCTAGCCTATGAAATAATGACCTCAGAAAAAAATTTCCAGAAAAGATATCTTAGAAAGAACTATACTTTAACTTTCGGTGGGAACAGCAGTATCTTGTTTCTTCTCTACATAAACATAGCCACCCTAATATGCATACATATAAAATACTAAATATTATGATGAAATATGTTAAACAATGCAGAAGAATAAAAAATATACAGAAGAAAAAAAAAATTAAGACAAAGCGAATAAAAATAAGTTACAGGAACCCCGTAAAAAGGCAAAGGAAGTAAATAGTCTCCTGCATAGTAATAAGTCATGTCCTTATTATACTCTATTGTGTCTTAAGAAGAAAGAAGAAAAAATCGGTAAAAATATACTTACTTACACACACACACAACAATTAAATATACGTTTTATGTTGATGCGAGTATAAGAGCATGTTGGCGACAACAAAATGTAGAGGAAGTGTGGTACAACAAAGGAGCCGGAAGTAAAATCTGAGTCAAATTATTTTATAACTACAATAACTTTATGTTAATTTTATCTAAATACAAAGGGAATTTAGGCGAAATGTTTGGAGATTTTTATTTTTAGTAAAGTAACAAAATAGTGTTTAGAATAATAAGCATCAACGTCAACTAATGACTTTCACACACAAATGTACTATGTATTTCAAAACGGACAAAGCTGAAAAATAAGTGCTTAT